GCTGTCCAGTCTCCCCTGAATCCACCTCGCGTTCCGTCCAGTACCTCTTTGCCGCATTTTAGAACCAGCTCAGGGCATTGCTCCAGGTCCTCTGTATTGGCCGGCCTAGGTCTTTCATTACCCTTCATTTGAGGTCGTCCTCCGGTAGGCGCAACTTCCACCGCCTCATCTCTGCTCGGTTTTAAACTTGTCTTTTTAAGAGATCTACGGCAATGATTACCTGGAGGGTTTGTGGTGCGAAACCGTTTCCTAAAGAGCACCTTGAGTTGTTAACAGTTTTTAGAGATAGTCTTCTTACGAGCACATGATCAATTTGCGGCTGTCTCCCTCAACGCTGTAGGTCAGTTCTGACAAGGAAAAGTCGCCATGGCCACTCAAAAAGTGATGTATACCACTAGATGTGCCTTCGAGCGCTGATCTCAAATCTACCTTCCAAATCTGCTAAATGATTCTCTGAATGGAGTTATGAAGCAAAGCAGCGCAACGGCAATGGTCGGGGCTTGCAGTCAAAACGTCGTAGGGTCGGCCCATGATCGCGTTTAGTGTTTTTCGTTCTTCAAGAGTACAGCTAAAAGGAGTTTAAGAGCCTATTCAGCCTAATTCCTGGAGAACGCAACACAGTAGACGCGGGAAGGGGCCCATCCTACGACGCTTTGACTGCAAACCCCGACCACTGCCGTTGCGATGTCTTGCTTCATAACTCCCTTCAGAGAATCGTTTACAGATTTGGAAGGTAGATTTGAGATCAGCCTTCAAAGGCACATCTAGCGGTATACATCAATTCTTGAATGGCCATGGCGACCTGGGAGCAGGGTCAACCCTACGTTGTTACGAGTAACAACGTAGGGTTGACCCTGCCTTCGGTCCGTGAGTCAAGGGTGGGTTCTGGACTCAGATTGTAGCTTGGAGGGGCGTTGGTGGTCTTTTTTTTCTGATACCCATCTCGGTGGTCGACAGTTGGGATTCTTGTAATTATTCGGCTTAAATAGCCAGCATCGTTACGTTTCGTAATAGTATGGACTTGAACTAGAGCCATCTTATATAACCATCGGATTCCTCCAATGATGGTCCGTTTTCAATTATGAATCAGTCGTAATTAGTTTTTAAGGGCGCCCAATGGCCGTGGCGCGTAACTCATAGGCAAGATGTAGTGCAACGCTTATTGCTCTGGAGTTTTTTCACATCCTGAACTAAACATAATAATATTGCGTTTTCTTCCTAAGAAGTATCTCGTCTGGCGTGTTTGGATTGAAACTCTAAGATAAACTTCGATTTTTCGAGAATAATATGCTTTTTTTGTAGTTATTACCCCTTCAAATATTATAATATATTTAGGTTAACTAACGGGCTAATTTTTTGTAACTGTGCTGTATCTTTTCAGAATACGCTTTGGTGTTGTCTCGTTAGAAGCTTGAAAACCTTGTTTGGTTTTTTTACACTCGTGTTCAGCTTCCCAATATGATTGACTATTGTTAGAGAAAGTTTTATGATCGTTTGAATGGTAAAAGGTTTTCTCTGGGTTCCAAAAAAAAATAGTAACCGCATAACCCCAAAATTAAGTAACAAACGGTACTAATTTTTTTTAACTAAATTGGCTTTCAGAAAACGCTTTTGGTGTGTCTCTGCTAGAAAGCTCTCTTGAATCCGTAGTCTTTTATTTATTATCGTGTTCAGCTCTTCCTCAATATAAATGACTTTTTATGACGAATATGTTTATTGATCGTTTTTGTAAGTGTCAAAAAGTGCCTTGCATTAGAAAAACAGTTAACAATCGTACAAATTTTTACTTAAATTAACTTCATTAAAGGAACAAATTTTTACTATGCGTTGGAGAGTGATATGATATAATTTGATATTTTCCATATCAAAGCACTCGGCGCTTGAGCTCCGATATATGAAAAGGTAAGTTATAGCCTTAGGGAAGAGAGGCGCTTGTAAAATTTTGTGTTGCAATTGAGAAACTGTGAAGGATTTCAGCGGTTTCAATTGAGGAGTCCGATAATTTTTTTCTGACTTTTTATTAAGTTTTTTATCAGGTAATGTTGTCAATATTTACGATCACTGGTTCAGTTTATTTCATCTCCTAGTTCTTTTAATCCTTTGGAATACACGGATATCTTTGAATGCATCTCATTTTTTTCGTGTATTGCAAGCAGAGATGAATTTCTGTCGTGGATTTTGCTTAAAGTTTCAATCTTTAATGACTTTACGTATAAAAATTAAGATTGATGGTAAACACTGTCTCTAACACAGTGTTACATAGAAAGGGGGGGGTCGTCTATCAAACCGCCCCTCTGTAAGGGGGGGGGTCGGCTAAAAAATTTCCGGAGAAGTAACAACGATAGGTGTTGACCCTGCCTGGGAGCCTTTTTGTGAGTCTTCTTTCCCGTTAAAGAACGTGCTGCAGATGTCCAGATCGTTCTGGCTTGTAGCCCTGCTTTAAACCCCTGACTCTATTGTGTTCTTTTGAGACATCTTTCACTATCTCAACTTCACTCTCTCACAAATATACGTCTTAACCACATTAATACAGTCGAACCGATCCTTTCGGAAACCACAGACTGCTAAGCGACAAGCGCTAGCGAAGTTTCTCTCTTGCAACTATCTTGGTTTGGTTTAGTGGTCGACAGTTGACTCTCGGTTTCTTTCTCGTTTTTTTTTTTGTCTCTTCTTTGTTTCTTTTATTTATTTTTATTGTTGTATTATTTTTCTTTATTATTCAATTCTAAGTTATTATCTTTTTTTTTAAAATTTCTTTAACTTATATTTATCATTTAAATCTGACTTTTTATTCATTTTCATATCTATTAATTTTATTTTGTAGATCATCTATTCTAGTCTATGTTTTTTTTTATTTTATCTATAGTATTCTTATTTGTTTGAGAATTTATTAAATTAAAAATTATCTGTGTCGCGTTTGCGATTAACGGTCCTCACGATTGTAAACAGGCGATCTCTGGAATCTGGCATTCGGCAAACATCATACAAGGTTAGTCCTTATTCCAAGTCGCATTAGTTCGCTCGGTTGCGTTCGTTTGCACTGACACCTCTTCTTCTCTGGTGCTGAATTGGCCCGTGTTCTCAGTGCGCTTAACAATATTTTTGCGTTTATCTTCTTGACTTTATCTAGTCTTACTGCAGCTTGAGATCTGTACAAACTCATTTCCCCAATTTCAAATGAGCTGATGTGATGCAGATCTACGGTTGTTTGCGTCAAATAAGATTCAAAATCTTCCTAGTCAGCTAAGTATCCCTCCTCCCTTGGCTGTGTCCCCCCATCCCACCCCACCTCGGCCCTCTCCCCCCGCCACTCCCGCTTTTTATTCAGCATCGAACTCGTTTTTTCTGCTGAGGTTTTAAGTTTTCACTGAATGGTTGGTATCGTAAGTTTCAAAGCTAAATCACTCTAGGTTTTATTCCTCTGGTTAGTGAGAGACTTCACCATGTCAATTCGAACATTCACTTGGCTCAATATTTACACTATAATATTATTCTGATACTTGTTTGCCTGCCTTTTCCTTTGATCGAAATTCATAGCAAATCTATTTGGTTATAGTTTTGTTATTAATACTTGTAAATTGGGCCACCGAAACATATGCAGGAAATCTTTGCGCCTTTTGCTGCTAGCCGCTCAAGTTAAATTTCAACCCGATTTTTATTGAGAGTGTAATTACTGGACTCTAGAATATGATAGGTTGCTCTCTCGAAAAACTTAATTCACAGAACTTTATATTTAAATGATGAAGGCTCACCCTCACGGCCCCCCCACCGACTGCTAACGCTATGTGCTTGAAGCGCCATAGCCTCTGACGATGCGTATCTCATAAGTATCACCGAGCGTTACAGGTTGCTGTACACCAAGTAAAAAGTTGGATGAAGTGTTCGGATAACCCAGGCCTTTTCACATCTCCCAATTATCGGGTAGCATGCGCTACCCACGAACAAGGCTAGGATACGGTTGGATTAGCACTTATGCGCAGGTCACCAAATTCACCGAAGTTCAAGGATTTTCCATGTAATCCTCTGGAAGGAAACTAAAGAAGACATCAGAAAACCCAGAACTCTCCAATTGAGGTTTCACGAAGCTCCTGCTCCCGCTTCGTTCCCTCGACCTGGTTCCCACCATTAACAATTCTTGACATACCTTCGTTCATTCTATTGCACACATGGCTACGCAGGTTCACGCATGCTCTCAAGAAGAGCTTACGGCCCGAAAAGTCACCGCTTAGAAGGCTTTAATTTTAATTTATGCAAATAATTCTCGTCAAGTAACAGTGAAAGGGAAAGTGGAACTCAGAATTTACGTCGTACTCCAAGCATTTTACAAATATCCTTTCGCCCTTCATCTGATGACATAACGAACTCGCTATCAGGTCTGCGTTCTTACCATATTTACTCATGAGAGATTTGAGGACCAAAGATCTTTACCCGAATAGCTCATGCTGAACTTTTTCGGAGTTTGTTGAGTAAAGCAGGATTTACCATTAGCTGAAGGTGTGAAGGTAACCCAAACTCCCCTCAAGCTCAACACCTGCTGGGTTAATACTTTCTATAGATTACTATAGATTATTTTACGACTAGTTCACACCCAGATTTGAAATGCATGAAACATTCATAACATCACCTTAAACCAGTGACCCTCTCGTAAGACCATGTGTTTTGAAGCTTAAAGCTAATTGTCAAGTTTTTAGCACGCTTGCCCATCGAGTGGTCGCCGCCAGGTGTCCAGACGTGCAGCAAACCGCGGACAAGCCTACGCGCACCTTTCCGAGCGGACGACGCCGACGGCGCCGATCATGATCGCGTCGCTTCGTGGTCGGACTTGACACACCGGATCGTTTCCTAAACGTATAGTGAGTGAACGGAACGCATCAAGTCGCATATACAACGACCAACACATAGACACAGAAGAGCAGCAGAATCACCACCTTTGTCGACTGTCCCCCGGGGTCCATTAAGCTAGCCGTCCAAGTCAGGCTTCCCCAGAACATCGTCGTTCAATGGACACCGCTTATCTGGCGACTTCGTACTCGTACGACAACAAGGACTACTTTGAGCCTAGCGTCGCCGTATTGCCAACGCCGTGCGGCTTCCAGCAGCCACAGCATGGACATCTTTACCCTATTGTACCGACGTCCATACATCAAGTTCACAGCAACACGCATCTTGCGGTAAGATTTGTCTTCTGAATTTTTTCGTCTACATTTTGTAAAGAACCACTTGTTCTGAGGAACAAGTGGTTGTACATCGCACGTATTTTTGCACAGCAATATTCGTTTTTCAACATGCATTATGATTACTGATTTCTTCCCTTCTACCGCGGGCTCCGCTTTAGCTGCTACAATCCTTCTTTCACCCAAGGGAAGCTTGTGGGGTAACTATGAACATACTGAGTTCCTTTTGTTGAGTAGTAGGATGCCGCATGGAGACGAAATTTCACCGTATTCAGCGGAGAGGGACGCCTGACGACACGAGGGGTCTCGTCATATCCAGGGGGGGGCAATAAAAAAGACATTTTGCCTCCACTTCCAGATGGATTTAAGCGCACTTTGCTCAATTTAGACCGAGTGTTCCCAACTTAATATTGAAAAGCACATTCCTTCTATAAGAAAATCTTTATGGTGGCCACTACGTGGAAGGCATCAGAAGAATTTGCCCTGGAAACATGGTGCACTGGTCGAGCTCAATGGGGTTTCGAAGGATCGTGTACTATAACGACCTTTACTGGAAAGCTCGTTTCGAGGGATTTGTATAGTGAGAGCTAACGCCTCTAAAAAGGTAACATTAAATCGATTCACGAAATTGCGTAAGAGCTTCAGGCTGAAGCTCTACGGTAGACCTCCTTGAGCCTGACGACGGTGACAGATGACGTCATATTCTGAAGACGGTGAGGGCAGTGAAGGAGGGTCTGCGTTCACTTATAGAGGGACACTTAGGGAATACTCTGCTGAGGAACTCCCGTCAACGCCGGCAATCTCTGCGAAGAAAAAAGGGCCGAAGGCCGGCATAGGCAAAATGTCTTTTTTTGGCCCCTTTGTATATTACATACATACATATTTTCACATGTGTTTTCTTTCTGAATCCATTCCTTGTATGGAAGACACGGAGGAAACTTCCTTTCTCTATGCTTACTACACTGACATTCACTTGTAATAAAATGTGTAGATTGCTGCTAGATCTTCTTCAGAGATTGTTTCAAGTATTCCCACTTTAGCAGCGATTCTTGGGTATAGTTTTGTGATCTTCTAGAACTTCAATATCAGCAGTAGTCAGGTGCAGATATATACGTTTGAAATATTCAATAGCACCCATAAATATGCTTATGGATAAGAGTATTTGCTTGAACCTTGCCTGAGGCTCTCAAATTTTGGTACCTACACTGCCGAAAAGGTCAGCGACAAAGTTCAGTCTTCCCTCCAAGGAATAGAACTTGAGTGCACGTCGCGTCGCCAAACTGGTTAAAGTTTTCATGTCAGAATCAAAAGCAGCGTTATGCAGTAATGTGGATGATTTCGCCTGGGCCAATTGTAGATTTCAAGCAAGCGTCGCTGAGGGAACAATCAACGTTGGCGAGGGGCTAATACAAGTTTTTAAGAATACAGGGGGGGGGGGCAAAAAGACATTTTGCCTATGTCGGACTTCGGCCCTTTTTTCTTCGCAGAAATTTCTGTCGTTGAAGGGAGTTCTCCAGCAGAGTATTTCCTAAGTGTCCCTCTATGAGTGAACGCAGGCCCTCCTTCACTGCCCTCACCGCCTTCAGAATATGACGTCATCTGTCAGCGGCGTCAGGCTCATGGAGGTCTACCGTAAGAGCTTCAGCCTGAAGCTCTTACGCAATTTCGTGAATCGATTTAATGTTAGATAGTTTTCTAGAGGCATTTGCTACCACCAAATCCCCTCGAAACTAGCTTTTTAGTAAAGGTCGTTATGGTGCACGATCCTTCGAAGACCCTACTGGGCTCGACCAGTGCACCATGTTTCCAGGGCAAATTCTTCTGATGCCGTCCACGTAGGAGGCCACCATAAAGATTTTCTTATAGAAGGGAGTTGTCATGAAAGCTGTCATGTGTTGGATGAGGTGCACTTCAGTGATGGGCCTCTCTAAAAAGTAAGGAGAATTTCACAGGGTAATTTTACCGCATTGCACCAATCTCGTTTTTGGCTTTCCGCCATAGATCCACCTTACTTTTGAGGGTGAAAAGATTCCAAAGTGATTATGTTGAGTGTGGTAAATATTGTTTAGTATCTTGTTTAGTACGTTAGCGTCCATAGTGCGCGTCTTGGTCTTCATGAAGGACAGGTGGTACTATTTTTCAGTCATCAAATCACTAGTAATTTCTTAGTGTAAGGCAATCGATAGCTGCAACCAAGAGCGACTGTAAATAAGCTCGTCGGCGTCACAAGACCGTCGAACTCTTTTGCCGATCTATTTCGATCCGATTGTTGTCTGCAAATTGATTTACTGAAATATCTTATCGATCGGTCGTATTACTCGTTAAGAAACTGAAATGCAGCGGCAAAATGACTCCCGATAAAACAGATGGTCGTTGGTTTCTAGGTTTTGGGGAATCTACGCCACTCGACATGGCACACATTGAGTAGTATGAAATCAATGTTTGGTCTGTCACGTCGGATTCAGGAGCAAGGACACACAGCTGAGGATTATTATCCCCTTCTATGTGATGTCTTAAAAAGAACACAGTCTCAGCCTTCAATTGTATTAAAGATACATTCCGAATTCTGGAGTTGACGGCTGTTAAGGTGGTACTGGCGAGTTTCCAGGTTTTGATATATCTCGTCTGAGTGAACAACATCGAAGCACCATCCTACTTATTATAAAGCGCTTCGTGTGTCGTCTGTAGTCTTCCGTCTGTTTGTTGCTTGTATGTCTGTCGCAAAATTCCCACGTTCGGTGAGATCCGCTAAGAGAGACCAGTTGTGGGATGAGTGGTCCAGGTCTCATGCATCAGCTAAGCGGAGCCAAGCCCACAGTGCGTGTGGCGTGCATAGAAGCGAGTAGTACTGACGACCCTGTTAGATGAACTTCCAAAACAGCCCAGCAATGGAAAAATGGATAAACTATGAATTTGTAAGTTTAATAAATTTCTTGTGCCTTACAAGGTTGTTCGGTGGAACTTTCATTGATAGTCCAACGTTTCGACTGAAACGTTGTCTTCAGAGGCCATCGATTCCACCCTTTGCGCAGAAATGTCCGCGTAGAGTGCTAGTCAGTTAAAACTTTTGAAAAATGAATTCATAAGCCAGATCAAATTAGGGGTACCCACCAGGGTCTACCGTCCATTGGACAATGTTGAACGAGATGGTGGTGGGTCGTACTTGGGGGTGAAAAGGGGGGTCGTATTTTGCGAGGAAGCATTAATATTACCTAAGGGAAGGGATGATTGATCTTCTATGGAACGGAAAGCGGATTAGGTTGTAGGCTGGGATTTCGGGGTGAGTGCCGAATGTGAAAATTTTGTCGTTTCATATTCGATATACCCTACCCTCCCCCCCCCCCCCCGATTGGCTCGACGGCAATTTGGGAAGGAAAAGTGGGCGGAGTTTAGCTGTGTCGACTGGTCCCAGAATCAAATACTATAGAATCGCCCCTACGATGACAGTGGCAGGCGAGGGTGATGGAAGATGGTCGTGAGGGTAACTCTGAGGCCCCGAGGGGGGGGGTCATCGAGGCCCTCTAGAAAGGGGAGGGGGTCGTAAAATTTTCAGAATTGGTCCAACGTGACGGTTGACCCTGTTACCCACCTCCGTGAGCAGGGCGTTCTCTAAAAATGCAGTGCTTCATGGAAAATCTTGAAATGGAACCCATTCTCCTGGAAATCACAAACACCACACCACTCACTAGTATGATAAAGGGAGGGTCGTCCCTGATTCGCACTATGGAGGCTTCATATATTCTAACCTTAGTTTACCAGCTCTCACAACATTTGGAGCACTTCGCTATATTTTTGTCCAATGTCACGTGGCTGTGAATCGAAATGTCAGAAACGCAGGATCAGGGTTTATCATTCCATGAAGCGAAGCAAATGATATTGGGCAATAGCGGTCCATAGAGCGGAGGAGGAAAACTTCCAGATGGGTTCACCTTTTCTGTAGGACAACCTCAACGAGCGGGCGACCGTTTTCGCACCCAAATCGTTAAGCCGTGAATTCCAAGTAGGGCTAAGTTTATATGATCCAAGTGCTCAGGTTTAGCCATCATATTATCTGGCATGTGCTCGTTTGAAGCCAAGCATTTTCCACAGCCAGAGGTGACCGTGTTCATGCTCAAAGCTCCACTCCTAGTTCGCTGAGACCATGCGCAACATTGATTGTAACATCGTGTGTGCAGTCGCGCAACTGTGATTTTTGGTCTCTCATTTCCGGAAAAGAAGACAAAAAATATTCGAATCAAAATAGAATTGAAATGACTCGATGCTACAAAAAGTGTTCATGTCGGTGATTCGATATTAATTGCCAGTGGATATTGAGAAAAACAAATAACATAAAAAGACAGCACACCATTATTTTCTAAACTAATGCAACTAAACACTTTCAGGGAAACGAACAGTATGATCATTCGGTCGCCTTGCAGCCGTCTATGTTTTACTACGCTGCAGCAGCTGCAGCTGGACCCTCTCTAAGCACACCACAAGAGGATTCGCCAGCCACTCTGCAGAATAAAAACGCGGTAAGAATTTTAGTCCTGTTTCAGACTTCTCTCCTCATTTGTAATTCAGTGAGCACGACCAATTATGATTGAGCAGAGCGTTAAGTAGGAAGCAGCTCTAAAATAGCTGCAATTGTGGGTAACGAATACATACGCCTGAAAACTGTTACCCATTTGAAACTAGCGAACATATGATTGTAATTCATTTTTAGTTGTTACCAGATTAGTCCCCCGTCAACCGCCGGGACCTTCCTTTCCTGCGCAAGCTTTCTATTCTCCGCTATGGTCTCTTCCTCCTGTGACACCAACACCCTTCCTCCTGTGACACCAACACCTGGAAGGACGCGTATGCAACGCAATGGTGTTTCATACAGTAGAAGGGACAAAATCATGATATGACGGTGGATTTTTCGCTTCCCTTCCTCATCGTCTCTTCCTCTCTCCACTGCCCTCCAGCTGCCACTGCAGCACCATGTGGAATGAACGGAAGTGTGCTAAGCAGGTGTTCATATTCATATGTTTGTTAGCGGTTTGTTTATCCCATGAGCTTCCTTCTCACTTGCTTCATTTGGCGACGGACACACCTACATACACACACACGCACACACACACATACAGATACACAAACCGACACACAAAGTTAGCGCTTTATATAATAGAAGGATAAGTGATTCAGCCAATCTGTTGGAGCTCAAAGCCTCGAGGTTCACTGCTAATGTTAACTTTCCGTGCACTATGGTAGATGTGTGAATGCTGATATCTTACGAGGAATATGTCGCTGAAACCTGAGGTGGGGTGGAATGCTGCTCCGGTAGCATAATCGGTACCATACCCGGCCAGGAAGCGAGGATGCTGGAGCTAATCCTTCTTGGACGAAGTCTTTTGTCCTTGCCCGGCATCCTTGTAAAATATGCTTTCACGTGTTCCCATAGTCAAGCGGATCAGATAGAGCTCTGAAAATGGTCAATAACCTTATAGGCACAAATCTAGTGAACCAAAGCGTTACCACGTCTGCGTTTTGCTCAATCCTCTTTGGAAGGTTATCAGACCCGACAGATTCGGGAGGCATAGTTTTCCACTCATTTGAGCAGAGTTGGTTCTGAACAGGCTTTTTAATTCTTCCTAATTAAACGCTATTCGAGACGGTTCTTTCTATGACTTTGACGAAGCTTCATGTTTTAGGTCGACGAGTTGAATGGTGTCACTCCCCAGGGTGCTCGCAAGCGTGGTAGCAAACGAGGGCGTCCAACGAAGAATCCGGTCTGGACATTTTTCCGCCGAATCGACGACAAAAGCGTGCAATGCAACATGTGCGCTAGGGTAAGCGACTTTCAGTATTTCTTAAGCATCTATGGAAGTCTGGTCGTTTTTTGATAAGACAAACCTTTGCGTTGTTATGAACGCTTTCGGATTACAGCTTGTCAAGTCAGCATGCGCCACGAACATGAGCAAACATCTGGAACGACACCACCAGAATGCAGCTACTGTGACGACGTCGGGTCCGATTGATCAAGTTGACTTCAGCGCACACAAGTACGATCAGCCAGTCGTCGGCAGCTACGATGTTCATCAGTCGCCTTCCTGGAATCCATACTCACAGCACATGCAGCCGTTGAAGCACGTTCTCTTCGTTTGAATTCCTCGTTGTAAGGTGGTGGTGGTCACCGCTTTCCATGAACATAGATTTTTTCAACGGTATGTTATAGGGTAGTCACGAGCTATGATCACTATCAAAACATGCAGGCGCTCCAGCGTCCCTTACCAGGAGTGCCGTGGAATCCTGATCGACGAGGTGCTAAACGAAACCGTCGAACGAAACATCCGGTAAGTATCATCCTGAAGTAAGAAAGATCATTTTATCAGTATGCGGCTTGATACCATACACGGTGCTATCATCTGAAGCGTTAAGGTTCAGATTGTGCAAGAAGCGCTTTTGGCAAGCGGCAGGCATTCATAGAGGGGGGGGGGGTAAAAAACATTTTGCCTATGTCGTACTTTGGCCCTTTTTTCTTCGCAGAGATTGCCGGCGTTGACGGGCGTTCCTCAGCAGGTATTCCCTAACCAGGAAAGGCATCCAACTTCCCACGGAACTTTGAGATGAGACCCAGATATATCGATAGAGCTTCATACGCTGATTACAAATGTGGAAATTAAAACTGCAAAATTAACCTGCCGAGGAAGTTGTAAGCAGTCAAGTTGGCTTGAGATAAAGCATTACACTAGTCGCCGGGCTTTCAGAGCCTCCGCGGAGCAGTGGTGGTGCCCTCGCTATTCACCCTGGGGGTCATAAGCTCTCCTCCTATCGGAGCGCAAATTCCGAGAGCACTACCACTACTCCAAGGCGACTTTGAAAGCCCGGAGGCTAGTGTAATGCTTCACTTCAGGGCAACTTTGACTGCTCACAACTTCCTTGGCAGGTTCATTTTGCAGTTTTAGTTTCCATATTTGTAATCAGCGTTTGAAGCTCTATCGATATATCTGGGTCTCATCTCGAAGTTCCATGGGAAGTTGAATGCCTTTCCTGGTAAGTGTCCCTCTATAAGTGAACGCAGGCCCTCCTTCACTGCCCTCACCGTCTTCAGAATATGACATCATCTGTCACCGTCGTCAGGCTCAACGAGGGCTACTGTAAGTGCTTCAGCCTGCAGCTCTTACGCAATTTCGTGAATCGATTTAATGTTGGATACTTCTAGAGGCGTTAGCTCCCACTATACAAATCCCCTTGAAACCAGCTTTCCAGTAAAGGTCGTTATGGTACAGAATCCTTCATCCCATTGAGCTCGACCAGTGCACCATGTTTCCAGGGCAAATTCTTCTGTTGCCGTCCACGTGGGTGGCTAACATGAAGATTTTCTTATAGTTGAAATGTGCTCTTCAATATTATGTTGGGAACACTCGGTCTCAATTGAGCAAAGTGTGCTTAAATCCCTCTGACCGTGGAGACAAAATGTCTTTTTTTTAATGCTCCCCCCCTCTGTATATTCACATGAGCCCTTCTGTAGGGAGACATGGAGGAGTAGGGGGGCAAAAGAAGTTTTCCAGGTCTCTGATTGGTGGGGAATAAGAAGATGATGTGATACATGGCGGCTGCTACCTGGATACACGGCCTCTGTCAACCAAAGGGTGAGAGCGTAGCTGGAAAAGCACACACTTTGTGTCTCATTGGGACTAAGCCTTTTGAAGAAGATAAAGAAAGAGGAGATACTGTGATAGTGTGCACTTGTGAGAGCTCCCAGACATCACTCTGAAATGCTGAACCGCCAAAGCTCACGGTTGACAGAAGTCCCGGGACCCTGCTACCTATTTCAAAAACAAATGTTCCTCAAGATAATTTACTTCAATTACATGTTGATTTCCTCTCTCAATGCAGATGTTACGGTAAATTGGGTACCTTCGAAATGGAAGTAGAGCTAAAGGTGGAAGCGGGGGGTTTCAAAATTTTGTTACCACTTCTCACTGTTTTATTTGCACGAAATTACAACCGTTTAAATGAAGAAGCGCGCCTCTCTGTGAATTCTTAATTCTCTATCCCATAACTGAAGGAGTTCTGGAGATACCGCATAAACGTGGTGGTTTTCTGAAACTAGCAGTCTCTTGGAGTACAAATTCACTTGGCGTTTCAAAAAATATTGACGCTGAACAAAATTACGCTCTCTGTCACTAGTCTGCTTTGGTCTCTCCGCGCTGGGCCAAGTAGAAGATTGTGCGCACCAATGCAAACGCGACGCTACCGCGCTCAGTCTGGTGTAACGCTCGAAATATTAGTTCGAAGTAGTACGCAAACACACACACGCAATTACCAAGTGTGCAGTGCACAGTAGTTGTTTGGGGGGGGGTCGTATTGAGACTCGCCAAAAGGAGGGGAGACGTAAAGTTTTCGAAATCGATCCAACTTGACGATTGACCCTGGCTCTAGCCTTCCTTCAAAGTAGGTCGACTTCGCTCGCTTAATGTCGAATTTTCCGTTCTATCTGCTCTAGAAGAACCTTTGGCCTGTGACCAATATTTGAGCATCTGGGTTTTTACACTGATTCACTGAATGACTTACCCTGCATTCCTCTTTTCAGGTGTGGGAGTTGTTCCGGCGGACAACCGATGGCAATGCACAGTGCATTTTGTGCAGTGTTGTGGTGCGGTCTCCATGTTCGAGTAACTTCATGGGTCATCTTAATCGACATCATTCCGAGCACTATCAGGACATATATAACCGATGGCTGGAAGGTCGAGTCGACATGCCCAGTCTGCCCAGCTGACCGACGAGCAATATCCACGAATTCAGATAGTTGAAGAAAAACCACGATACTCGATGCCCTTCTCACCCGATGGCCACCTCCGAGTCCTGTGATGGACCAACAAACAGAACACCTCCTCCAATGACGGCCACAATCTCTGAACTGTTGCACTGCGCACTTGTGTGAGCACTAGACTAGTCCTTAGAGCCGTTATATTTCTGCTGACGTATTCGTAGTCCACGCTCGCCGCAGGTGTTGAATTCGCTCAAACCGAATTTAGATGAATACTGTCACATTTCCTCATTCTTTCCTTTTCACTTTGTCGTTCGCTTTTCTTTCTTTTTTCTGTGCCTTCTGTGTGATTTAGTTATGTTGGTTTGCGAGTAAATTTCCTGTTGAGGCAACGATTTGAGAAGTACCAGATCCTGTAACCATACAGATGGTGCACTGGTGGATGGCGCCAATTCTTATCTAAATGAGTTTGCACTATACTTTATTCTCCGGTGTTACTTTGTCTGCGCCCAACGTGAGTACTGAACAAAATCTATCCTTAGCCGCGAGTTGGCTACAAGAAGGGCCTTCCAATATGCGATTAAGGGGTTCAGCCTCCGAAGAAGAAAAGACCTAGCGCCGCAATGGCACTAATCCGCAATGGTACTAAACTCTGGCGAACATGTGAAATTTTCAGACAATGCATAGCTCTACGCTTCGGAACAGATTACAAATCCTACTATATATAATCGGCTAAGTGGTTGTGTGTGCGTCTGACTGGAAATCTATAATTTCAGCCCCTTTGGACCCAGAGCGCTCGAACGTCTAGGATATATAGGGGGCCAGAGGTGAACACTGACGACGGGTGGCGGGAAATGATAATACTGATAGGAGCTGATAACGGACGTCGATGTCACCAATTTCGTTGAACTTTGCGGGTTGACAGTGGAGAGTTTGCACTCAAGTATGATATGTGGAGTGAGGCCGGGGACCAACAAATTGAGTGAGCGAATGTAGTAGCAACTGATAAGGACTGATAAGGGGCGTCAACATGTGGATACCACCAGTTTCGTTGCGGCCCTTGCGGTTACATTGAAACCTTCGCTTTCACATGTGGTATAGATGGGACGGCAACACGGATAGCGGATGATCAGAAGTGATAACAAGCGATAACGGTTGATAAGGGAGTTAGAATCTGAGTACTGCTAATTTCGTTGCAGCCTTCGTGGTGACAGTAAATATTACGCGCACGCTGCGTGGATTTTGGGACCGGAACACCGATTGCGAACAGTATGAACTGATAACAAATGACAAGAAATGATAAGGGCGTTTGAATGCAGGTCTCTTCAACTTCGTTGCAACCATCATTGCAAGAGAGCAAGGTGGAGAGGGTTGAATGTAGGTGACAGAAAGTGGTTTGAGCGGCATGAGCGGTATGAGCGGTACTGATAAAAGTAGCAACAGTTGAGCATGCACTCAATTGGATTAAACCAAGTCCCTAGCACGTGAATATTTTCCATTCCTACCCTTTCATCTAAAGAAGCAAAGAAAGTCGAGCTGCCCAACTTGGACCAGTAGCAAATTTCCATCAATTCCGATTTCCATTATAGCTCAGTTAGAAGCTGATTGAATGGTTATACACTTACACTTTCACTTGCACACCGATTCCTCAATTGTGAAAATTCTATGAAGCTGAATCGTCCGAGCTGGATATCAATGCTAAATGTTGACGAAGTCACGATAAGTATCATTTTCATTCCGCATGCTACTGCGCGCATTACGCTACAATCTTCAGCAAAATAGGACAACCTTTGAAACTCATACGACGCATTTTCTAAACATCTTACTGTCTTTCTCAGCCACGTGACTTAATATTCAGCAAGGTGTCCAGTTTCACTAAAGCCTACCATGTGATGCGCGCGGTTGCGTGCGGAGCTAAACTGGTTACAAATGAATATTTACATAGCCCCAACAAGCGCATCCATTGGTATCAGTTGTAGAGTATAATAGTGAAACGCTTTGAACTAATCCGCCCTAACTGACGTGTTTTCCAATTAGGAGCAAACAAGTGGAGCCTCTCCAGCCTTTTGAGTTCTGCAGTACTTCCTGATTAAAGCGAGATATTACGATAAGATTAAGTAGGGTTCATCGTGGAAGTGGGGATGCTGAATAACGCTCCGTGACGAAAAATGCAAAGAAATCCGCCGAGAACACGCACAATTTAAGGTTTTTCCTTGCCCGCTAACCTCTGATAATGGAAGAGCTTCAACCACGGTAGCAAATCGTTTGCACATGTTGACCGATAGCCGCCATCATTCCAGCAAACTTCGTGCCTTGACCTATGACGCGTTCCATAGGAGTATTTTAGGATACACATTCGGGATGGAATATCTCATCCAAATGACAAGAACAATGATGCTGCTAGCAACACACTTAGCGCATGTAGCGGAGGTGGAGCTCACGGACGATCAGCCCCAGAGCGCTTATCTGGCGCTCCTCTGGCCAAGAAAATGCCACATCTCGCTTCCTCAGGCTTCTGACTACTACTGCTTTTACTGGTGTATGTCCTTCCATACTTAAACACACACTTTATCGTGATCTCTCGCTTTAAGGTATGCCTCAAAGAATTAAGCTCTACGTAAGTAGGACGAGTACATAGCATCGCCATTGAAGCACTGCGGAAAGCACAACACTAGAAGGTTCCTTTCCCCGGCAAGAGCAGAAGGAAGTACATTCAGTCAACGATCGAGATCAGGGACGCTGCCATCTCTGTCCAGATATCGGTAGGTAGACATTAGCTCGATCTTGTGACGGTTTTTGAACCGCCGACGCTACCTACTGGGTCCTTCAGGACGTGAAGCGAACACCAGGACGAGCATCGGAATGATGGTCAGACTCTTTTACGAAAGTTCTGCGCAAGGGGGTGCAGCAGATTTAGTTGTCTCAATTACCAATGGCTTTTATAAGGGTCTCGGTTGCTCTAATCACTTTAACCACCATGAACGTAGCACCAGTTTACTCAATCGCTGGTGGAAGGGCTCCTTCAGAATTGCTGAGAGCGTAATGAAATTGAAGACATTCATATTTGCCGCTTATCAGCCACTATCAACTTTCATCGGTTTATATCACCCACAGTGTATCGGGGACTCTGTCCGACTTTCCCCTTTGCCATCCGTACAAATCAAAGTTCCTTTGCCACCGTAAAATACGCAGTGGAACATTTACATTCATTCTGACGCTACTTATCAGTCGTTATCGAATTTAATCACTTTCTATTACTATTTTTATTATACCTCTTCTTAATATTTTAATCTGTGTTTTTTAACAAATCCTTGTTATGCAAGGTAATGGCCGAAGTTCCACTCTCACTGAGAGCGACGCAACGCAATTGATGGTACCCAACTTTAACCCATAGTTGCCAGCTCTTATCAGTTGCTGTGTTTCTGTCCAGGCTCCATTGTTATAAGCCATAATCAGTACTAGGTTTTCCGGAAAGTTCCTGCCTATCACGACCCTGGAATTTAAAAGCGCATATCAATCGATTCAAACGAAGCATTTCTGACCAATACAAACCTATAACAATCCCATACTTTTGCCAAGGATACGAGAGTTCACTGGATCGGGATTTTGAAAGTGCTGGAGTAATTAGGCGAAGAATTCAGCAGAGGTCGTTTCAAGACCATCTGAGAGTGGTTTGGTGCATTCGAAACCTTCTAGCAAATTTTTATCAATCTCCGATACCTGACCACCACACCAATCTCCTTCGACGCTTTCACCATTGCAGGAAAGACCTGCTAAATCGCTACTACACAGTGCTTTTGTTTGCGGATTTGGGTTCAGGTGTTCAGTTATGATTGGATTTTTTCTCCTTCCGCACTTTTCCGCAAAAATTTGTGAAGTAACGAGAAACTCTTGTAAAATATCCTGTTAGCAATTAGGTCCCTGGAAAAGGACGGAAAATGTGTCCGGAGTAAGGGAGTAAGAAGGCAGCACATCTGAATGGAATGAAGAAGCAGCTTTCTAAAGAAATATGAAATGTTAGCCACCATCGCTGTGGCGCGTGTCATGAATATCATGCCACGCACGACAGACATAAGTAAAAGGATCCCTACTATAAAACGCTATGCCTGTCTGCTTGTGTGTGTGTGTCACGAAATTCATAGCACGCGTCGCAGCAGTCGTTAGGAGCTGATCTTTTGATATGATATAGGGGGTGGGCGGGAACACATGTGGTGGGGATCACAAAGTGATAACGTCTGATAAGAGCAGATAAGAGGCGCTGAAACACAATTTTCACAAAATTCATAGTGCGCTTCGCAGCAGTCGTCAGGAACTGGTGAAAGTGTAAAGCATTTGCCGTTGATCAATAACTTTTTGGGATGCGGCACGCATTCTACTTCCATTTAAACATTCGTAGTGGCGTTTAAATGCGATATGGCCTATACAATGACTCGCGGGGGCCAGCCGATGTACAAGTCAGTGTTTTTATCCTCACTGACAAGTCTGGTACCGATTCACCGACCCCGTAGGGATGGAAGGCTTGGTTGCCCTGGGCGACTCACGACCCAGGATTCGATCCCTACCGCTGGCGTGCCACTTGCCGCTACACCACTTCCGCCCCCTCAGACCTTCAGACAGACATAAGTAGGTCTTTGTAAACAAGCGGGAGGGGGCAAAAAGTCAATTCGCTCAAGGCGCATATCACCAAGCTTTTCGTCGCACAGGGTGACGCTGGTGGTCGAAGTTATAAGGCAACATTTTCCATCCCACCCCCATAAACAGAACAGGCGTTTCTTCATTGCCTCCACAGTCTTCGGAATGTCTCCAGGCGTCCTCTGCCATCAACGACGAGCTCAAGGAGGCCTGTCGGGATTGCTCCAACCTGGAGCTGCTACAAATTTCTTGAATCAGTGAAGTGGTGAATACATAGTTCATTAACAGTATCTGTGACTTTGCAGGACCGCTTTCGACCAGCGTTTCAGAGAACGTCACAAAGGTCCACGTTCCGTCGGAGACCTCGTGGAGCGTGTACCGTGCACCATTTTTCCGAACCAAAATACTCCGTTGTCTTCAAAGTAGAAGGATATAGGGTCTTTTCTCGATAAACTGGCAAATTGTGTCCTTTTTCGATAAACTGGGTGCGCTCTTTTTTAGTTGAGTTTATTCGCTTTGAGTTCAGAAAAGTGTAGTTGATTCCGTTTATATATGGGAAATGTCTCCTTTTTGCACCCCCCCCCCCTGTACAGTAAGGATCGGGATGAACTCATTGAGGCTTGAAATCCCCCACTGGTTTCACTTTTGTCACCTTCTGTTATTCTTCATTCGCATACGCGCCCGACAGCATTTTAGGTGGTCACAATTTCTCCGATTTGGTAAAAAAAATTCAATTTTCCTTACGCTTCACTAAAGAGGTGTGCCGGTGAAAGAATTACGAGTCGACGGGTAAAAATTACTCATCACCTCAGCAGGGGGAATATTTAACCGCTTTTGAAGCATCCATTCCAAAAAATTGAATTCTGCACGTAATCACGCACTATGTAGAACAGTAGATATCCATGTTATCAATAAAGTAGAGTCAATTTGCTGAAGAGGTCTTGTTCAAAAGCGGTCATCTACGACAGAGATGAACGTGGAGGAGACGAATGTGAGCATCGAAACGGGTGATCCTGCTGAACCAAATGATGTAAGCTATCAATTTTCTCTTGGAAAGAAGTGCCTATTAACTAATGAGTATCGATCTTGACTATTTATCGAGGAGAAAAAGTTGCACTATCGAAATAACTGGTCAGGAGTGTAGGAGATTGGTGCGGCCTTCTAACATGAAGTGTGTATCCATGGTTTCTCCTTGAGACGGTGTGCTCAGAACTGTTTCTCATATCTGCCAAGCGCTCCTCCGAACGGAATAGCGAAAAGTGCAGTTGTAGTGGTGTTATCCCGTGGCAGGAGGTTGTTGCAGACCCACTGCCGAGCTGCTCATTTGCTGTCTTCGCTGACGCAGCTTTAAAAAAATTTGACACAATGACTGCATTATAGCTTATCTACAAATGCCTGTATGAAGAGTTTGCAAGCCATTAATAGTACTCCCCAAGAATGGTAAGTGAAACAGTGAAAGTAGCTCAGAGCTCAACGCCTCAATGCCAATGCCGTAATGCACACGTCAAATGGCCATGCCGACCTGATGAACTCCCTCGGTGAGCCCTATATTCCTTCAAAAAAAAAAACGAGAAAAGCGTCTGATGCAGACCAGGCACGAATAAGCATGAATTTGCTCAGCAGTTAAACAGTTCAGAGTAGAACACCTCATATCTTTGTATTATCAGGCATTGTTTTTCTCCAACGTAACGTTTTGTCTACATCCACTTCCATTCAAACCTGTAGATCACAGACACTGTAACCACCGCGAGAGCTTTTGCGATGAAGATTGAACGCTCGGATCTACTCTGCGTCAGATCCTCCATCCTATTCGACATGTTATCCCAGCGTTTATTCACATTAGCAACAGCTCAAGAGTTAGCAAACGTTGCGAGCATAGACAGGAAAGTAAGGGGATCGCTACTATAGTGAGGGGATTAGAATAAGATTGTCATTTGTCAGACTGTGGTAATGAACGTTTCAGCATGTGGAAGTGGAACCAGGTGTCAGCAATATGGTGGGCAACGATAACATGGATGCGTATGACGACAAACTGGCCAGCGAAGCAGTGGACAGCCTTCAATTGCAGATCAAAGATTTTGGAGTACGTTTATTTAGCACGTGCAGAAAAACTCCTACTTAAAGCAAGCTTGGGCTCAGCCTCACTGAAGTAGGCTCTTGTGGATAGGGGTGTGCTGTCTGCCACTACAGATTTCGCACATGGGAACGCGTACTGATACTCCAAGCGACTTCGGCCAATCCCACCAGATCTACCAGAGTCCACCCACCTTTCGATATCTTATCTACGTCGCAATATAGAATGGTCTCTAGTCCGACTTTTCTTGCCCTCTCCGTGGCTCCCAATATCTTTCATCTCTCTGCTTGCCTCTTAGACTTCTCCGCAATGTAGAGCAAGAAATCTATTACTTCCTGTGTATTTCACGATTTTCTTTCATTCTTTAACCACTTTCATCTCATTCATCATCATCATTCCTACTTTCATATGTGAACTGGATTAGCACATCATTTCAGCCCTAATTAGTGCGTTTAAGGGAAAGGTCGACATGGCGAAACCAGACGAAGTTGTTTTGATGGACCTGTCATTAGAAAGGACACTAGCGGTATATCAATACAACAAGAAATCGGGATATCTCATGAAAGTGCTGTTACTCCAATATTCAGGATCTGGAAAAGGAGGAGTGGTATCATGGATGCTTGCCATTCGAGGACATAGTTGGGCTCCTCAAAAATGACGGGGATTTTCTTATACGCGAACTCGAACCCGAAGGAGATCGGCAAGCAATGGTAATCTGTAGCATTTGAAAGTTTCCATTAAGATGGCTCAAACTGATCAAGTCATTGGAAATGAGGAGCAGAAGGATTCTATGCCTTTCAGTCATGGTTTAGCGCATCCACTAACGCATAAATAAATTTATATCTGCGTTGATCCGCCACTATGACATAAATAGCTTTTCGACACTAGGAGAAGAGAATGTGGATGTTGTAAGGTTTATTGTGATCGAGTATATGCGGCAACGTTCATATCATATGGAAAAGTGAACGCTATTACAGTGTTTGGCCATATATTGTTTACAAAAAAAACTGAGATGTAGTTCATTATTTGAAGAATATGTACAGTAGATACATGTAAAATACACAGATTGTCAAGGCACACCATTCCGCAGAAATGGAACAATGGGAATGAAAATTGCGGAAATGCTACTTATCTATATATATAACAATATGTTACGTCCCACCCCCCTATATCCATATCTTGAAACCAACTCCTGACGACCAACTTGGTGCCCGCGCGCCTAGTGAATTTTCCGGTCACGCCAGCAAACCACATACACAACCAGACACTATACATATACAAGCATCGACACACAACCGCTTAGCGATTATATGTATACCAATTTACGCGACCGCTAACGCGCCGCCATTGATAGACTGACAATATCGCATGAAGCTTTAGGTTTCACCCCGCTAATCTAGCTGCTTCGGCTAAATGTATCTACCGTCAGTTCCAAGCTGCCATCTTTACTTGTATTACTGTTCGATACAGCGCAGTGAAGTGCACAGCTCCAGTGATGTATGTTACAACAACCATGCATCGGTCCCACCGAGGTAATTTAAGCGTCGAGTGTCTCAAAGCGTGAATCGCCCAGTATCATTATCCACTTATTCGAGCATCATTCATCCCTCGACGAACCCGAAGGTGTAGGGTCGAAAAGGTTGAGTTTACCCAATTCCCAGTGCTGATTGAAATGACACTGAATCGAAAGGCAATATCACATCTGCTCTCTATTTTCTATTTCAAGGCTCACGTTCCTACGCAATAACGCATACTATCATTCTCCATTAGTCATATCCAACGTTTGACCAACCACAGTTGTTCCCCGCCGCCCATCCCCTAACATATCCCAAATCAGCTCCCGACGCACACTATGCGGAGCGTAACTATGAATCTCGTGAATTTCGTGTTTCATCGCCTCTTACTGTTCTTCATCAGCTCTTTATGACTTGGTCGACCGTCACCAAATATTTCTCGTCCAGCTCCTATACTATATCAAAAATCAAGCTCCCGACGACATGCGGAAGCGTACTATGAATTTCGTGAAATTTGTCGTTCAGCGATTCTTAATCTGGCTCTTATCGACTCACTTCACTTGGTGACGCCGTCGCCCCGCGCACCCCGCAGCCCCCGGGCCCGCCCCAACCAAAAAGTTCTCAGTCTCCACCCCCCTATATCATACTCAAAACGAATCACTCCAGACTGCTGCGACACGTGCTAGGAATCTTCGTGACCCCACGCACCACACACCCCCCGGGCCCACAGCGCATCACACACAAACAGACAGACATGGCTTTATAATATAAGTAACGGCCGTAGGATCGGCTCAGCGGTTGCTCGTGTGTGTGAGTGTGTGTGTGTGTGAGTGTGTGTGTGCGGTGTGTGCAGGTGTGTGCAGATGCTGTGGCACGAGTGTTGCAGAGTGTGTGTGCAGATTGGTGCTGTGCAGTATGTGTGTGTGCCGATGTGTGTGTGGAGAGTGTGTGTGCAGATGTGTGTGTGCAGATGTGTGCTGTGCCAGATGTGTGTGTGCCAGATCGTTGTGTGTGCAGATGTGTGTGTTCAGATTGTGGTGTGGCCGATGTGTGTGTGCAGATGTGTGGGCAGATGGTGTGTGCACAGATGTGTGTGTGCAGATGTGTGTGTGCAGATGTGCTGTGTGCAGATGTGGTCGTGCAGATGTGTGTGGCAGTGTTTGTGTGCAGATGGTGTGTGTGTGTGTCTGTGTGTGTGTGTGTGTGTGTCGTGTGTGTGGTCACGAATTCATTAGCTCCGGGCCACAATGATCGCGTCAATGGTTCTTCCCCATACTAGAGGAGTGGGTGGGGCTAAAGGGTATGTGAATAGAACTGATAACGACTGATAGCAGCTGATTAAGAGGGCTATGAAAGTGAGCATCGCTAAATTTGCGTTTTGTCGTTCATGGGATTCGGCACTAGTGCGTCTATACCTTACAAGTGTTTATGTGTGGTGCCGGGACTATAGTGTAATAATGATAAGCGATAGCAACTGCTATGGGCTGATAAGGGGCTTCAAAACGCAACAAGTTCGTCGCTAATCATCCAGCTCGCGTTGACACTAGAGCGTCATTACTTACAAGTGTTGGGTTGGGACGGGGACATTGTTGATGGGTGATTGAAAGGGATTGAAACTGATAAGGGCTGATAAGGGGCGTCAGAACGCAAAAGCCGTCGATTCCGTTACCCAGCTTGCGCTGTCACTAGAGCGTCATTACTTACAAGTGTTGGGTTGGGACGGAGACATTGTTGATGGGTGATTGAAAGGGATTGAAACTGATAAGGGCTGATAAGGGGCGTCCGAACGCAAAAGCCGTCGTTTCCGTTACCCAGCTTGCGCTGTCACTGGAGCGTTCCTACTTACAAGTGTTATAAGGGGTGGAACGGAGACATTGTTGATGGGTGATTGAAAAGGATTGAAACTGATAAGGGCTATTGAGATTATAGGTGCAATTGTGATATTAATACAGTGATACATGTTATATCATTTATATTACACCTAGATCGAAAGCAGCAGGGCGAACGTAGGCCTGAAACGCTTCAAGGGATTTCCACCTTTCCATTTGCATAACTTGAAAACTATCAAAGCCCTGCGGGGGCCGTAGATAGATGCTGCACCGCCTCGAAAGCTATGCGTGGTGTAGTTTTTGTGAATAATGTGAGCAACAATTGTTGTAATCTCTTTGAGATGTTGAGGAGCTCAAAGGTAGTTTGGTAGACTGAGAAGCAAATAAGTAACTACTATTAATGCTTGCTGCGTATACAATATGTTTATTGAGAACAACGCGCTCCTCAGATGCGTCTTTCATCTTGAAAGATGCTGTAGCACCCCTCCGCGCCTCCCTTTTGGACTTAGATATAAATGTTGTAAATGTTTGATCAGCGCGTGTTAAATGCTCTTTCTTCAGATTGCGGGCTTCACTGAATCTCAAGAAGCCCCTGAATAGTAAAATGGCCAAGACAGCTGTAGAATAGGCTTTCGCATCCCTAGAAATCGCTCCTAGGTGAATAATGTGCAATCTTCAGTCGTGATCTTGGTCCTATGACTGACCGGCGTTCTATTTCTAACCGCGCTATCTAGCAACGACTTTTCCACTTCCTTATCGGCATCCTTTTGCTTCCACATGAAGAAGTTCAAAGAAGCCGAAATCGCAGGTTGGGAAATTTCCTGGCTGTTGCAATATAGTGCGCCAAGTAGAGATTCCGACCTTTGGCTATATAGGTACGCTTTCAAGCTGTTGCGCCCCCACCAATGAACGAACTTTTGGCGGCGTGCGAGTAGGCTGAGAACGTAGCATTCGATCGGTGGTTTTTGAGCGAGAATCTGATTGCTTCTCCAATATCCGGAAGATTGCACTGTAAGGCTGTATGGTACAGTTCGTTTGCCTCTCTCCACAGCGGTCCTTAAATCATCGTGGGTAGGACCTGGACTGGAGAACCATCATGGGACCATCGATGTTTTCTATGTCCTTACATGACCATGTTTACCATATGGTCATGTTCCCTTGTACTGTGAGGATGTTGAGAAACATCTACATCCTCATGGGATATTGTTATTGAAAACAATATTACCGATGTTGAAATCTCTTTCCTTACTGTCGAAAAGCAGGACAAATAATCTAGGGATATTCTCGTGCGCTTCACCCTGCATTGCTTTTCATTTCCTCAAAAAGAAAAAAAGAGATTATTTTCAGTCCTTTGGACCGTTAATAGTCGGGTTACATAATATAATAACTCCAGAACGATCTGCTTCTTCACCAATTCCAGAACATTTCCCTTGAAATTCGATTTGTTTTTTCTTGCAGATAATTCTCCTTTTCATAACTTCATCTACCTAGTTTCGCTCGTCCTCTTATTTTTCGCTCCCACTTCACTTGTGCATTTGTTGGCTTGAATTTTTCGACCCTCATCTCTGATTGATCACATCTGCCTGTGCGAGTTTCTTGTGGTCGATCATCATCTGGGACTGTTTTCTTTGCTGATCACTTCCTCAATACACGTCATTGGCTGTGACACACGACTCAGATGGCGAGACGTGGACTGTACGTTCTTCTTTTGCGTCATTCATTGCGCTTGTATAAAGAATTTAGGCACTATTTCACTATTACTGCCCCAAAATTTCAAAATTTTAATGTTCGTCGAAGCTTTGCCTATACATGTTATTCGATGTCCTGATTACTAGTATGGTATTCCTTTGGCGCCACCTTGTCACGACGGCTGCTCTCACCTATTCGGTGTAAACTTATATGCAAGGGTTATTTGGTGTCTTGATTACGAAAGCGACCTTCATTTTCGGCGTTGGCATCATTCGACGCCTATTTTCTGTTCGTCGCCGTCCTCTCACTTTATTGATCGTGATCGGATTCTTTCTATTATATAAGCAGTGGAGGCTCGAAAGTGAGCACGCATAATCTTTTACCACACAATGCGCAATTTGCCCAACACGGTGTCCCTTCTCAGCAAGTTTGTTTACTCACTGTACCTTGCAATGAGTGGGAGAGGTGAGGGGAGCAGAGATTATGCGTTAGACAGCGCCAGTTCCAAATACGAGTGTATTCGTAATCAGGACATCAGATAAAGCCTTTACACAACTTCACCCGAATTTGGTGAAATCAGCCGTCGTGACAAAACATTCTCTAAATGGCGCCAGTGTCAAAAACGAATACCATATTCGTAATCAGGGTACTGGCTCCATAGAGAAAATTTCGACGGAAATAAAATTTTGAGATCTTGGTGCAGAAAATTTTGAGATCTTGGTGCAGTTATGGTGGAATAGTGCCGAAATTTGGTTTGATATGTTCAAATCTCTAAATACTTTTTCGGATTCTAGATTTTCGAAATTTCGGAAAAATTCCCTTTCAATGATGACACACATTGATGCCGATAATTTTATTCAACATGTCGTTCATCACTTCAAATGATTGCATGTCTATTTTACCTTCGTCTTCTCGCGAATCCTTATTCAATAAAACAACCCAATCCGGCGTACATATTCGCGCCCAAAGACGTCCTGAAACTATTAGGTACCGGATATCTTAGTGTCGCTTTTCTAAGTTCAGGAAGTTTTGGCTCGTATTACTATGAGAATAATCATATCCCAGGAAGGACATTTTGCATCATTTAAGTATGTCGAATATGTGGCTTCCCGCTTCTATTCTATGGTTCACATTTAACTTTCGGTGGGGCCCAGCCCAATTTTTTATCCTTTCTTCTGGCAAATTCGCTGGTCCCAGTGTGCAAATCGCATGTGTGTAGACCGAATGCATCAAATTCTTGCTGAGAGCTGAACTACGCCCACCAAACCAGGCATTGATTTGAATGAGGGAATACTACCATTTAAAATGCTCATCGTTTTCACAGTTTCTAAAAAGACAGTAAATCTTTGAAGGGTATGCCGCAATCGTCCAAAAAGTGCCTTACTAAATCTGCAAAACGGGCGCACCAGGCTTGTGCTGGAATGTAGGACGCCCTAGCATTTTATGATCGAGTTCACAGACGCTCTAACGAATTTGATATGACCGCAAGTTCTAATAAATGTGCTCACTGCCCTCAGTGGCTCAAAAAAGGTGCGTTTTTGACCCATGTAGGCAAAAAACTTCGGGAAAAAAATTGGTCATGTTTGAGCTGGTACGTAATAAATTTTCCACAAATCAGTGTCAATGACCCTATCCTCAACTAGAATGTTATACATTAGTTTTGTCGCAGGCCAACTGTTTAGCAAGGTAGAGGGATATTGTCAGATGATGCTCAATTCGACCTTACCTCTCTTTTTGTCTAAAAAGATTCCTAACGTTAATCGTACGAGGTTTTCACTCATACTGGTAAATGGAAAGGGCTAATGAGTCATTTCGATTGATATAGCCGTCTCACGTTCACTGATTTTGAATTCACATATGTGTGTCGAAACTCGCGGTGAAAAAAAGACAATAAGATATACGGTACCTAATATAAAAGAGCTCCCAAACTCTTAAACCTAACCAATCATTCTGGGGAAGGAATATCACCTTGCGAGATGTTAAGTAAAGATTGGAGAGGTTTTAAGATGGCAATAAAGACCTTGAAGAGATAGAAGTTGCCTAAAAGTAGTGTAAAAGACTTCCACTCAGAATAGGGGATAGCGGAGCGTAGCGGGCCTGTGTTGAAATAGTAGAGCCACTGAAGTGTAATACTGGAGCGCATTTAGTGCGGGCAACATGCAACAACTCGTTCAACAAGCGTCTTCTCACATCGGCAAGCGACAGAAGGGGAGTCCTGAAGCCCTGTTAGGCGTTTTCCTTTCGTTTTTTTTGTCACTATCGGTCAAATTGTCGCCCATATCTATATTATCAGCGGTATTTACCCCGCAAATTCGTCCTGGGATTGTTGATTCAACATATTGATAAGAAAAGTAGTTCTTACCAGCTGAAAGATCACACATGGGCAGAAGGTGTGATCCAGTCGAGGTATGATTCGAGCAATATGATGAATGGACGGGATTAATATAATATAATATAAATATAATATAGATATGGGCGACAATTTGACCGATAGTGACAAAAAACGAAAGAAAAACGCCTAACAGGGCTTCGGGGACTCCCCTTCTGTAGCTTACCGATGTGGGAAGACGCGTGTTGGACGAGTTGTTGCAACTTGCCCGCACTAAATGCGCTCCAGTTGCATAACACTAACATAATTACATAGCACTATACATAACATAACAACATGCGACAGCAAAAGCATAACAATTCTAGTGCAGCAGGCAGGATCACATTGATTACTTTAGAGGACAGAGTTCAAATCTTCCCTGTGGTCCCAAAGCGAGCACGAATGCCTCCGTAGCTAATCACGGCTGGCAAGTGGGCGGTCCCGAAGAAATCTCCAACCACACCCATCTTTGAGGAGTTTAACGTCCTTTTTAGGCTTTTCCCAGGTGAGCTTTCTTTATACCTACACTCCAGATGTTCTCCAATAGGGCCTGTGCATCCTTCAGTGCCATTAGTATTGAAAGGAGCAGACCATGCTGGGACTGTTGCTTTGAAACGGCCTTCTTGAAACTCTCAAAGCTCCCGAACTCTACACTCAGGAGAATTTTTACATTTTAATTTTAAAGTTCAAGTGTCAGATCGTTATTTAGTCATTTGACGCGTACATGTTCGTATTCGTTTATACTATCTTCTATCCATTGAGAGTATCTTCCGATTCAAAAGTAATGCAGAAAGAAGTCGCGAGTCTTCGGGCCCACGGGCCTTCGATTACTTGCAACCTTTTACGTCGTCCTTCGCCACCTGTTCTCGCTAAACTTTTCATAGAACAAGGGTTCCAACCTTCTGTCTCCTTCTTCTTTTGATACCTTCTTTTTCTAATCGAGTCAGTTGCGTTTTTTCAATTCCTATTGTTACATCCTTCTAATAGTCTTTGCTCTTGGAACGGTAACTAGACGTGTCACCTGCATGAGGCTTCTCATTGTGCTAAGAGAAAACCAAAAAATAAAGGAGTTTTTTACAGGCATGTGTAACAGGGAAATGGGAAGGGAAAGTACGGGATTACCCTGTGCATCAAATGATATTCAACAAAGAACACCTCTATACATTAGATGGAACTAACAAATGCAACGACATTATTAATCTAGTGAAGTGAGATTTACGATTTTCACATTTTGATGCAATGCACACTTCAACCAAGGCCAGGCGAGGCGTTGGAGGAAACAAATATGAACTTCCATTTCCTCAGCAAGGTTGCCATGCAGGATTCTCATCTGTGTTTGAAAGGATAAAGGATAAAGCATTTTGCGTTTATCAAACTCTTTTCGGGATGCGGCGCGGATTCCACCTCCATTCGTACATTCGTAAAGGCGTTTCAATGCGATGCGGCCTATATAGTGGCTTACAGGGGCCAGCCGATGTACAAGTCAGACTTTATTTAGTTTTATTATTTTATTCTCCAAGACAAGTCTGGTACCAATTTACCTATCCCGGGGGTGGAAGGCTTGGTTGGCCCGGGCGGCTCACGACCCAGAATTTTCCCTGGACAGCTCGCGTGGTAAACGTGCCACGTGCCACTACATCACTTCCGCCCTTATCTGCGTATAGGCAGCCTCAAAACACGATTGCTCTTACAAAACACTAGTTGACGTAGGACACCTTGAAAATCGATGACGTATTCACAAAATCATAACATTCTTCATAACGAACGAGTTTCTTAGCTGAGAACTGAGAAAGTTTTCCGTCGAGTAATTTCTAATTTCTAAAAGTGTTAAAATTGTGGGGACTCGCCAAAACAAGTCGAAATTTGAGCTTGGGCGATTAAAAATGCTGCAGAAAAAAATATGGTCAAAGACTTTTGGGTGTTACTGTATGTCGATCCCTTCTTCTGTACGCCGGCGAAATGAAGGAAACTAATGGAGTAGACTGATTGCCAATGAAAGTTAGGACAAAATCAGTTGAGGTAACATTCTGACGTCATCATGATTATACCTTTCACTATACAAGATACTCTCTTTGTGCAAGCGGTGATGAGTTCGCAAGTGAAATTAAAGGAATCTTCCACGGACCATGGACCAGTGGGCGGGACCGGAAGTTTTTGCGACGAAATGCATGGTAGGTACGTATCCACGTGTGCGAACGCACAACGTGAAGCAGATTGCATCTTCAAACCTTCCTGAACATGGATACGTACCTACCATGCATTTCGTCGCAAAACCACTTCCGGTCCCGCCCCACTGGTCCATGATCAGTGGGAGATTCCTTTAAGTAGAGCGGAAGGTCCTCAGCATTCGCAGAGAAGGGAGTTTTAAAGGTTGCCGAGTAGCAAAGCTGGTAAGCAGAAAATGAAGAGCTGCCAATTCTGTGAGACTTGCCAAAGCAATTTGACTTATTTAATCATGTCGATTATAATTCTACCATTGTGTGAGCTAAAGAATACAATAACAAATTATAAAAAAAAAATTAGAAAGGAAGTTGCGTATGCCCAGAAAAAATGACGACATGGGAGGCGAGGTGCATGCATGTGCAGTCCTCAACGTATTATGGGGCCAATGCGAATATTTTTCTCAGTGTCCACCCATCGCTCCTGTTGTATGTAAAACAGCGAGTTCTACGAAGAAGCCCTACATATTTGCATTAGAGTAGAGTGTTCCCCGAACTTTCAAAGTTTACATTTATGTTTGATGCCATCCAACGTCATGTGAAGCTATGAAGTAGTATAATAATATTGGAATGCTATGAAACTGGGTATGTATGAAGCTTCAAAGAAAACTGTTTTACGCGTACAGTCTCCTCTCATCGCCTTCACTTCCAATTGCCAAATTGTTAGGGAATCGTAAGGGAGGTGGTCACAGAAATTCCTATAGGCCGTAGGGTAAGTGACATTGTGGATTGGGTACGAGCAGGGTCAACCGTCCGTTGGACAAAGTCCAACGAGGGGGTCGTATCCGGCCGACCGAAAGGAGGGGGTCGTAGTTGCATGGAACAACGTTGCAATACGTCGGTGAGAGGCATAATTCAGAACGCTTCCCAACTGATATTCACAAACGAGTGCATGGCGCATCTCAGAGCTGAAGAGTTCACTGCAGTTGTGTCCATATTTCACTGTTCACGTACACAAATATGATTTAAGTAAAAAGGTGAACACCTGGGTAGATTGACTGCTAAAGGCTAACAAGAAAGTTTGGAGAAAAAATCTTTGCCTGTCGCCGACTTTCTGAAAAGGTTTGGTGACTGCTTTGGAGCACAACTTTGGAGCTTGTGCGAGGTCACGGTGTCATTATTCTTGACAACATTCAATTTAAAGGACGAATTCACGATGAAAAAGCAACCCATTTCAAATTAAGCTAGGGATGGTGAGTGCTACACGAAAGAAGGAAGAATTATGAGAAACGGCCCAGAACCCGAGAAATGGTACCCCTTCCTTGCCCGTTGATTTGCGCATTGATGCGGCGCTTATCGCTGTGCCCTCTTCAACATCACGCTCTCTCTGCTATCTAATCACTCGCCTCGTATTGGACTACGGCGAGTGATCAGATGATCGGTGGGCGGAGGTCGCCGGACCCGCCAGCTTTGAGGCATGATAGGTCGCCGAGGTCGAATTTTTCCATGCGCGCGTCAGTTCGCACCCTCAGGAGATCCATGAGTCCCTCAACTAGGTCAGTTTCTCTTTCTTCAACCTTCACGCTAATCGTGAATTCCTCCTCTAAAGAGAGCTGTGAGTGTTTGAGTAGCAGAAACTCGCGTTTTAAGAAGAATGGCTATGAAAATTCATGAAAAAAACGGTCCAACGAGACGATTTTTTGAAGGGGCGTTGTGGAGACTAGCTCAAGCATTCATTGGAAAGTTCTATCCTTCTAGTATCTTTCAGGGGGACAGGGACTGCTAAGAGTTGGATCTGAAGAAATTTATTATCATTGAAAGCCAAAAAAACCCGGTTGGCGGTCCAACGGGGTGATGTTCAAATGAAACTTTACAGAAGTTTGAAAACTTTAAAAAAAAACAATTTGGAGCCTCAAGATTTTCTTACCGCTTCTCACACTTTCCTATGTGAAAGGAATCACAGTCGTTTAAAGGACGAATTTACGATGGAAAAGCAACCCATTCTGAATTGGGGTAGAGATGGTGAACAGTACCAGAAAGAAAGCGAAACCACGAAAAACGGCCCAGAACCCGAGAAATGGTACCCCTTCCTTGTCCGTTGATTTGAGCATTGATGGGACTCTCATCGCTTTGCCCTCTTCAACCCTACGCTCTCTCAGCTATCTAATCACTCGCCACCTATTGTACTACGGCGAGTGATCAGACGATCGGTGGGCGGAGATCGCCGAACTCGCCAACTTTGAGCCTTGCTAGATCTCAGAGGTCAAATCTTTCAATGCCGATTGCGTGTCTGTCCGCACCCTCAAGAGATTCACCGCTCTCCCCACTAGGCGATTTCTCCCTTCTTCGACCTCCGTTCTTTCCGTGCAATCCTCCTTTAGGTGAAGAAATGCGTCTCTCCGTGAATTCTCAGTGAATTCTTGATTCTCTACCCCATAACTGAAAAAGATACTGCATAATCGTGGTGGTTTTCTAAATCTAACAGTCTCGTAGATTACAAATCTAACCAGCGTTTCAAAGAACGTTGAGGTTGAACAGAATTACTCATTTGAAAATCAGTAGTCTGCCTCAGTCTATCCGCACTGGGCCGAGTAGAAGACTGTGCGCGCCAATGCAAACGCGACGCTAGATGTCGGTTATACTCGGCGATTGCATCGCGCGATGCAATCGCTCTAGATCCGAGCGTTGCGCCAGCGAATCAAACGTTGCACCAGCGAATCGACCGATGTACCAGCGAGTCGAACTATGTACCAGCGAGTCGTACGATGTACCAGCGACTCAGTAGTGTCGGGACCCAACGTTTAAAGGAAGCCCGCCACTTTCAAACAGTGTCACGTGACAGTGGCCACAGTTTGAAAGTGGCGGGCTTCCTTCAAACGTTGGTTCCCTCCACTACTGAGTGCTGGTACATCGTACGACTCGCTGGTACATAGTTCGACTCGTTAGTGCATCGGTCGATTCGCTAATGCAACGTTCGATTCGCTGGCGCAACTCTCGGATCCAGCGAGTTGTGTCGTAGTTTGCGAATCGAGCGATTTGCTAGCGAATCGCTTGATTCGCGAACTGTGACATCGGCCTATCAGACGTGGAAGAGCAACGGAACCATGCTAGATGTGATACGGTTATCGTTATCGTTCGAATACACCTCGTACTAAGCAGCTGTGTCTTCTTATCTAATCCTATAGCATCTACCATAGAGTCATGCTTCAGTCAACCACCATGTATCTATCTTCGAATTTCGGTTAATAACACGGAGTTCGGCGATGCACGTGTAATGCAGCGTAATTGCTTTTCAAGAGTATTACGGACAACCCTACGATTTATGGGTGCGAGTATAGGAAACAAGAAAATGAGAGACAAGGGCAGACACGGATTTGGGTACCCTACAGCCATCTTAATTCACCAAGTTAGAAGCGCACAAAGGTTCGTCTACGTAATCGCAGCGTGAAGCAAGTCATAAACCGGATTCGTTGGAAGTCGCTGCGCATTTTCTATTATCTTGTGTCCAAACTTTATCCATGAGGCTCGTTTATAAATTACAATCTTGTGCTCAGTGCTTGGAAACCAACTTTGCAGGGGTGGCGGAGGGTTAATGACTGCCTCTGCGGCCATATCTACCAGTAGGGTGATTGCTCTAATTGTGTTCTTCCTAAGTATTTGATAGCATGCACATTTCTAGATTTCACCACTCGTCTCAAATACCTGTCGGTGATAAGTTCACTCTGCGGCAGCCAGTGTGCAAGCAACCATGGGAACTGACCAGCGACAAAGTTACAATGATCACCAAAATTGGATCAGGAGCGTATGGCGAGGTGTGGCAGGGTGTCATGCACGAAAACCCAAACAAACCACCATTTGACGTCGCTATCAAAGTGGTGAGACTTCATACTCGCCTAAGGGTTCACGTTCGATCTCTGTCAGCGATTGTTCGTGATTAAAGTGGAGTTGACTATTTCAGAAGAAAATTAACGCTGAAAACAAGGCAATGATGGATGAAATGTACAAAGAAGCCCGCCTGATGAGACAGTACAAACACAAGTACGAGGCTAGGTCATTTTCTGATCAAAACCTTCTTTTCGAGATAGGCGTGCATTTCCGTGCATTTTCGTAAAAATCTAGGGATGAAATGCACCAAAACCCAGAGTACTATCTGAAACAATTTCATTCTCGGGAATTGTTGATTACAAGTTCCAATTTTGACTGAAAAAGCTGTATTTCAGCCGAAATTTGTGCAGTAGCATTTAAAGGTCAAGAAACGACAGAACTTCAGACGAGCGAAGTAACTTTGCCGCCCCCCCCCCGTATGTATACGGTGATAGCAAGAAGAACGCCGCGGGACGCCATGGGTTGGAGCAAAGTAAGCAGAGCTGTTGAGGAGTTCCTCGTAGTTCAAGCCCTAGATGTGACTTCCACAGACGGGAGGGCTGCAAATTGAAGAGACTTCGATGAATCTGTGCAGCTACTGACGGCGGTTGTTTGGTACCGTCCACAAACTTTGCAAAGTTGGAACTTCATTGAGGAGTGTTTATGGTGATTCCTATGTGACCTTAGCCTAGTCCAGGTCCAAGAAGCTGACGGGGCGCTTTACGTGAAAAAAAAACTCCTCACTTGTATGCCAAAATGCACCAATAACTTCCATACGTTTTCTCACTAATCTTCATGATGAAGGACCTTTATGAGCTTCGTTTTAGCCACAGAGTGGAGCGAAGCGGTATATTAGGTTTAATTTAGGGTATATTCTATCATCCATACCGCCGCGAGCGATGGCTCGGGAAACGTGAGGTTTAGGGTTTTTCGTAAGATGATACAGAATGACCCCGGAGACAAATTGACGTTCTTACCTCACCCAATGGGGGAGCCCAGAAGACGCCTGTGAGATAATGAAGCAACGCTCAGGCTTCCTTACGACAGTGGCAGATACTTGGGAACCATCGATAAAGTATAAAAAATCTTTATTTCATCCGCACTTGAGTTCCACCAGCCAAACTCTAAAAAGCCATTGTACGGATGCAACTCCTGTCCCAGTCTCATCAATTTCGCAAGATTTCCTCGGCACCATCGCGGCGGATAAGGCGAAGGCATGCTCCAGTAACACGCTGACAGGAATGGGGAAAAAAGGTAAGTAATGGGAATTAGTGAGGAGCCTAAAATGAGGTTGAAAGTCAGCCGATTAGGAGACAGAGTAGCGCTCGATGTTCAGTGGAGCCTCATGGACGTCAATCTTACGACATGCTTCCAACTCGTAACATGATTACAAGTTCCTTCCTCTCTCCACATTGGGAACACTGAAAAAAAAGACAGAATATGTCTTAATGGCCTCCAAAGACAAAACAAGGACTACTTAAAGCAACGTCACAAGCAATCGTCACAGACAATCTAAGGTGCTCTAGAAAAAGCATTCGAGCCTCGTTGGGATCCTGGTTTGGAAAACCTTCACGGTATTTTTCCAACATTCTTTTTTTGGATAGGATTTGCATCGCATCTCGACTAACATCTCCTTGAAAAAACTCTGCCGACTGGCGATTATCCAAAAACGACATCGACAGCTTATTTGCCCTTCGGGCGTTCTCCTTTTGAGCCAAAGGCACCATCGAGTTGCCTGCGAGTTGGCGCCCCTTACTGAGAAAGGTGATCAATATTATTCCATTAGCTCACCTTTTTGTGGGAATAGAAAAATGAAAGTTAGGGGAAAAAGATCTCAGAACTCAACTCGCAAAGAACACTGGACACTTTATAATAGTTCTTCCAGAAATGTGGTTTCCTTTCATGGCGTCGTACAAAAGGGGAACGGCAACGTCATGATCGTCATGGAGTTCATCAATGGTGGCTCCTTGAAGGAGCACTTGAAGAAGAGCAAAGATGTATGTCAACTGAAACGGTTTCCTGCGTTTGTTTTCTCCAAAGTTTGTACCTAAGCAGGGGAGCATAACTAAGATAGGATTTCCACAATATATAAAAGGTTATGTCCTATGTTTCTGTGTGTTACGAAATTCATAGCACGCGTCACAGCGACGGTCGGACGTTGGTTCTTCCAAATGTTATAGGGATTTGCATGGAATTATAGATGGTGGGTGATCCACAGTGATAACTCGCAAAAGAGCTGAACGGTGAAAAGTCGATCACAACACATGGTATAAGGGGCGATCGGGGGCGTAGATGGTGGGCGATCCTAAGTGGTGAAGACGTGTAGCACTCGTCACTCCCACTTTTGTGCTTTTCGAACGTCTAGCTAAGAAAAATTTGATATGCTCTTCAAGCGCCTAGCTAAGAAAAAATAACTAGGTCATCTATAAAGAAAGATTGTCGTACTGTTGCTTATGTATCGTTATTTCCCACGACTGCCTTATGCGTCGTTTCAAATAAATAAATAAATGTATTTAAGTAATTAAATAAATAAAATAAAGACTGTAAAAGGTTTTCAAGCGTAACCTACTAAATAATGTTATACATTACTCGGTGACAGTTGCCACATTCGATACTTGAATACCGACTGTGCGCCCAAACTACAAGGTCCTCAATGAATAGAAACTTTCCATTCTTAACTCAATATATTAAGAGAAGCAGTTTTCAATGAATGGCTAAATTGTGTGGATTTCTAAATAATAGTGGACGTTCATCAAATGAGTATCAGATGCTCAGTGAATAAGTACTTTTTACTTCCATTCCAATAATTCTAGAAACAAGATCAAATCGACCACTGAACCGAATAAATTCAATACAAGTGGTGAATATTTACATTTTATAGGTACCGGTTTATCTGCGCATAGGCCCCATAGGCAAATTTGCCCAACAGCGTGAACGAATGTTTTGGGAACAACTCTGACGTGACGTCCGCACGCCCAATCAATGAAAATCTGTACATCATGGGGGACCTCAATGGTCACATTAGCACAAGCAATGACCAATATGAGGATACGCAAGGAAGATTCGCTTATGGCACGAGAAACGAAGAAAGTTCTCGTATTCTAGAATACGCCAAATCCCTATATCTGATCATTACCAACTTCTTTTTTTCTCCAAAAGAGAGAATCCCACCTGGTAACATACTACAGTGCAGATTTCAAAGCACAGTTCGACTATATTCTGACAAGAAAGAGCCACCGAAGTGATGTCCTAGATATCAAAGTGGTCCCATCGATAACTGTCGACAGTCAACACCGTCCCGCTGTCGCTACCATCAAGCCTAGGAACTCGCCCGCTTTCAAACCGATATCTAACCGAAGGCTCTTAAGATGAAACAAAATCGCTGACGTAAGACGTGCTGACAGAAACTACCTAGAAGATCTGCCAGCCAACCCAGGTGACCCCGAAAAGGGCTGAAAACAGCTCACTAGACAAGTTATAGATATATGCTCGGCTACAAAAGGAAATTAAGGTGTGCACCGGAGCGACCAGCGTGGTTTTGGAACGATGACGTAGCAACTGCAATTCAGTCCAAGAAGAATGCGTACAAAGTCAGGCATCTTAACCCTACGGCCGAGACCAGAGGAAGGTACTGTGTAGCTGAACGAGAAACCAAGAAAACCATCGCAAAAGCTATCCAAGACAAGACGGGTATCATGATCGCGAAGCTGAACACTAAGGAAGGTGAAGAACGCAGCGCCTTGCTAAAGGACGCTCAAGAGCAACACAGGGCTTCGTAACCAGAGTCAACCCTGCGTTGCGCAGTTTCAACGGCCACGTTGCGCAGTTTCGCCCGATTAGACACGTTCTCTCGCGCGAACATTCACACTCGCATGCTCGAGCCGTCTGCGTCTCCGCCCATACAGTGTGCGTTGAGGATCTCTCGACGTGCCGTTGCGAACTACGCAACGCAGGGTTGACTCTGTTCGTAACCATCACAACTTTCATCGAGGACAAAAATAAATGGAGCATTCTTGCACGAATTCAGCAAAATCAAACAACGTTGGCAAGAACACTTCTAAAAGGTCTGCAACGTCGAGTTCCCACATCCGCCACTCCCGAAAGAGCGGCGAACTCATGGACTTATACCGTGCATTACCGTGCAAGAAGTCGACGAAGCTATGAAGAAGATGAAAAATAGTAAAGCCCCCGGCCCTGGTGATATTCCAGTAGAAGTCTGGAACCAACTTAGAGGGTGCTGTTACCTGACTCCAATCTTCAACGAGTGTATTGAGAAGGTTGTGATCCCGACATATTGGTCAAAAAGCGCCACTGTTCCCATCTACAAGAAGAAAGGTGATATCGCCAGCTGTTCCAACTATCACCCAATTCGCCTGTGGTTTTCGAACGGAGCTCGGAACCACCAACGCCATTCACGCAGTGCAGCTAACATATCTTAATTCCTCAACTGCCATCCGAACACCTGTAAGTGACACCGTGCAGTTCGCGGTCACGTTGGAAATCATCAAGGATCGACCTTCTCACCATTAGTCTCCATTCTACGTATGGACTACTCGTCGAGAAAAATTCGAAAAAAAAACCGCCGATGACGCTTGGGTACGCTGGTGATATGGTATCGATCGGTCAAAAATGAAAATGGGGAGACGTGTCAATCAGGGAATGAAACAGCTAAAGGACCATACTCAGGCTCAACATCAACAAAACAGACTACATGCGCACAACGGCCACAACGTCTTCTCCTCTCTGCAGTCACTTCTGCGGTGTTCAGTGTGGCAGCTGAGCAAATCTTTTCGTTGAAGTCACTGTCGCAAGTACAGGTGTAGCTAGTACTTGTTATCTGTCATCGTTTTCTGGCCGTGCATCGTTTATTTTCCAAACGTACTTTCATCGATCTGTGTGGTCTACCGATATCCCGTTGTGTGCTTACACTATTATCTACTGGTTTTGGACCGTTCGAAGGAATTTCTTTGGTGCCCTTCTTATTAGTATCTTGGATTGTCTTGCTCTGCTCAGGGTGGAAACTGGGCAATTTTGTTGAAGTATCCTTGCCACCTTATCAGGTATATCGGTTTTTTCTCTGTGTGGTGCAGTTGACGATCTGATCTCTGGTCCTTTTCTGTGTTTTGCTTGCTGTTTTGAGACATGGGCATGACCATGACTACTTTGAATAGTACAGCAGTAGGTAGTATCCATGGTCACGAAGAATCGTACAATAAGGAGCTTCAGGGTCAAGTTGAGAAGATTAACAAATCGCGAAATGTCTCTGATGCCGTTAAAAAAGTTTTGTGTGCAATGATGGATGAGATAAGTTTTAGTTTTCTGAGGTCTAAAAATGTTGACTTGAAGAATGAAATCAAAGAATTACGTGCGAATAGATCATAGATCACTGTTGATCCTCATCCTCATGATAGCTTGACTTCGCATCAAAGTGATATTGTAGCTAACTTTACCCATGATTCAGTGTTACCGTTTCATGGGATTGAGAGACAACGAAGTATTTAGTCAGTGGCGTTCTGAGCCTGTAACTTCCAATTTGAGAAGTAGGCTGGCAATGGATTTTTATCGTGTGTGCCGTGTCTTGATTACCTAGGTGTGGAATGTAACCTATCTCTATAGACAGGAAACCATCACAGAAATAGGTTGCTGAAAGTTGTTCTTCCTTCGCATTTTTTCCAACGAATGATTCTGAAGAGGACGTCTCGCCTTCGCTATTTTCCTCAGCGAGATATCTTCTTAAGGGAGTCCCTCACTAAAGAGGAGCGAGCGAAGGCGAGCGCCACGTCAAAGTTATAATGGAGGAGGGCCCCATTCTCATACTTCGGGTGTTTCCCACTTAGTAGAGGGAAACGCGACGGTTCCGGGCACTTCGTGCTCCTCTTTTTTGTTCAGGAAAACTGAATTCTCTTCCTTGATTCAGTATGAGAGGTCTTAGCCTGTTTTATTCGAATGTAAGTTCAATCTCAAAAAACTCGGTTTACGTGGAATCAGTGTTGTCGGAAAACTATGATATCTACACTTTGCGAGACGTGGCTTAAACCCAGTCATATGGTTTCTCCAATTCTTGGTGGACTATTTTCAGACTACGATATTCAGTGATGTGATCAGCCGAAGAAATCTGGTGGTGGAGTAATGATAGCTTTCAAAGGTCCTCTTTTGGGGAGTCTGTGGAGGGTGCATACAACGTACTTTGTGTTGATATTCTAAAGGAGAGTTCAAGCTTACGGCTCGTAGTAGTATAGGACTCCATCATGCGTTGTAGCAAAAACTAAGCAGATGTTTAAGGCTCTCAGTGATCTAACGCTTGCGAGCTAGCTGCAGTAATTGTTGGAGATTTTAACTTGCCAGAGACGTTTCATAACGCCAGTGCTCATTCGGATGGGTCTATAGTATCGGAATTTCACGAGCTGCTGTGCACTCATAACTTACCCAAGCATGTCAAGCAGGCAACTAGGCTTGGCAGGGCCCTGAACTTGGTTCTAAGCAGCAGGATAGACATAGCTAGCAATCTCAAATACCGTCCTCCTGTTGGACATAGTGATCATTGCAGCAATGTTTTCGACATCACTGGGTATGATAGCATGGCTGTGAATACTTTTCGCAGAGTATACTCAGCATGCAATTTTGCAGCTTTACGTTGTGATTTTTCTCGCATACGTTGGGTTAACCTGCTCGAAAGCTGTGATAGTGTTAACGCAAAGTATGAGCTGTTATTGACGGTGCTGCACACCGCTATCGACTACTATGTCCCTTGAGAGCGGGTAACCTCGTTTAAATTCACTCCTTTACCGCGTTAAAAAACATGAGTGAGCATAGGGACTGTCTTTTTTTGAAGCAAGAAGAGCTGGGATTTGGTCTGAGTGTAATGAATTCACAAAACGCTTTCTTCCCTGCCTCATGAAGTACTTCAGCAATATGGAAAAGAAAATTGTAGAAGCTCAGTCTAGGGGGAGCTTTTACAGTTGTTTAAACAGTAAAATACAGGATAAAAGGTGCACTGGGTTTTTAGCTAGGAGATTTCATTGCGTGTAGTCCAGCAGACAAAGCTAACATGTTTGTTGATCAGTTCTCTAAATCGTTCACGAGTGATGATGTTAGTGTTCCCAAATTTTTTTTCGCCTGGCATCTCAACCATGAAAACTGCCATGAATTTATGGGGATCAGCTGTATGAACGGATTGTGTGTTGGCCCTAGTCTACGTCTGTTACACCTGACTTCATGCCACTGGTTTTCATCCAAAAGATAGCTGATATCTGTGAGCCATTAGCGTATATTTTTAATCGGTCACTTATGTGTGGAGAAGTGCCTCAACACTGACAGCGCTCTTTCACCACCCCTGTTCTCATAAAGGAACCTTCGTCGGACCCTGCAAATTATCGACCTCTCAGCATAACATCTTGGTTTTGTAGACTTTTTCAGAAAATTACTAGAGAGCACATTCTTGGGTATGTTGCCGCTCACAGAGTCATACCACGAGCCCAACATGGTTTCATCCCTAGGAGGTCGGCTAAGACGAATGTGGTTGAAAGTCTGGAAGACTGGACGTCGTGCTTGATAATGATCGATGCTGTGACGTCATATGCTTTGCCTTTGCAAAACCCTTCGATAGGGTGCCCCACAATAAACTAGTTCACAAGCTTGGGGTCTTGGGGTTTCATCCGACTCTTGTAAAATGGATTTCTAATTACCTACGTAGCCGGACTTTTCAAGTCCAAGTAGGCCAGGCTTACTCCGATAGCATGAGAGTGTTGAGTGGAGTGCCGCAAGGAAGAGGGGTTCTTTCTCCGGTGCTGTTTAATTTGTACAGTGCAGGGATACTTATTCGAAGGCATAGAAGTTGTAACGAAAATGTATGCGGATGATGTAAAGTTTTTTATAGTCGTTACCGAGGCAAGAACCGGAAGTGCTACAGCAGGCCATTGACTGTGAGTGAATCGCCTAAAGCAGTGCACCTCCCCTTCGCCCCGCATAAACGATGTATATGACGATTGGCAACAATCTGGTCCCTTATTCCCTCAGGTCGTATACCGTGGATGGGGTTAACTATCTCCCCGTAAACTGTGTAGGGATCTAGGCTTTCTCCTATACCAAACATTCTTGACTTTTCCATGCGCATTCGCTCTCGTGTAAGCTTATTACTGCGACGTCGCACATTCTCAAGAGCTGTCCCACTACGAATAAGTCCATCCTTCTCAATGCTTATAAGATACCTATGTCCGCCCCTTTGTTGGGAGTGTGCTGAACAGTTTCCATCCGCAACAGGAGAAGACAGTCATTGCACTTGAAAAGTATACACAATAACTTCACTCGTAAAATTCCTTTTCCGGTGCAGATGCTTTTTTCTATTCTGGTATTCCCAGAAGCTTCCATTCGGTATAGATATCTCAAAACTCTCAACGTTTGGAACAAACGAGCGCAAGGTGTTTGAATTTTGGTATCCATTGATGTTTATAATACCAGTGCATTCTCGAACGCAGAGATGGGCGAACCAAATATGCTTACCTGGGCCTGAGCAAATATAAGAAGCAGAAAGTTCAGCTTTAAGAGCTTAGTAGTTTGTAACACAAAATAACCAAACATTTGATCGTTTCCGAGTCTCTGAGTGGTTCCAAGCGTAACATGAACAATGGTGTCTAGCCAAGTATTGAGCTTTCCAAGTTTTCTGAGACTGATCAAGGTGATTTCATAATTTGTTGTCTTGCTTTCAATATCTGAGTTGAAGCGAGAGTTGGGGTTATGTGTTACATAGTTCTTCCCTTCAGTTTACTAGCAATGTCAACTGCTTTTATCTTTTGTTTGAGCAGCGGCCCACTACATTGATTTCTATAAAGGTTGTTTTTTTTAATTTAAACGCTGCGCTTTGCCTTAAAGCAGCGTAATAAACATAACATAACATACCAATAGACC